GTAATTACAGTAATATTATATTGAACTGCAGAAGCTCAGATTGTCACACTTTTAAAAACTGTGGTCAAAACAATTCATAACAGGAAAAAAAGGTGAATGAATCCTATTAACTCTTTACCCCCTCGCATCTAGATTCTTGAACTGAAGATTAAGGAGGGTGATTCAGAGCATTAAAAAAGAAATTATTCAAATTTTAAATATTGAAGTATTCAGTTTTGTTAAATCACAAATAATTCCCTTGCTTTATGCTTATTGATAAAAAATTACTCTAATAAAACCTATCATAAAAACAAAATGTAGGAAAGTAATATATTAAACAAGCCTTTAATGTTAATAGGAATCTATTTTGAAATATTAACATTAAAATTATTTTGGTGACCAGAATAATTCTTTCTATTTAATTGTTTATCACTAATTTCTGAAATTAAGTTTCATGTCATTAAGTTGTCATGACATCACACAAGTTCTAAATCCTTTTTTTTTTTAATCTATAAAAAAGCCCTCCTTAATGTACATTGGTTCTCTTAACAGCCAGGTATATTATTCTGTAAAAAGCAGAATTAGTATGATGCAGGAGAATCTTTGTCTCTAAAAAATGTAATTATTGCTATCAAGTTTGAACAATCTTCAGCAACTGAACTATTACTTGTCATAAGAAAATTTAGACTTTAATCCTTTCCATCCTTACCTGGAAGTAAGGTCTTGCTTCTGAATCAACATTATCTAGGATTGGACTGTTAATGATTGCCTTAAACCATTTACATTTATACAGCAAAAAAATCATAGATCAGTGTTTTTATAAATCAATTTTAAAATATCGAAGGCAAAGATTTTTCTACATAAAAATAAAACTCCATATCTACAGTGAATAAAAGGACAATTACCAAGCAAAACTCTTTAACAGTAGTACATTTGCTCAAATTAGTGCTATTATGTAAGTAACTATTAGTTATTTATTTACACTCTGAACTGCAAAATACCTTAATTATTTGAATATATTCTGAACAGCACAATATAAAATCATTTTAATAGTTTTAGCTCTGCAACAAAGTAAAGAATGGTTTTTCTTTATAGTTATGATTTAAGTTGCATGACAAAAAGAAAAAAGAAACTGAAATATACAGCTGGCTGTCGTGCAAATAATAAAATTGCCTATTGAGGATGGAAAATGCTTTTTAAATCATGTGATGGCAAGGAACAAGGTCACCTGTTATACCAACAATAAAATAACATTTTATACAAAGCAGAATATGACTACATTTTATGACTCCTCAGAAAGGGCTTTATTACTAAGTGATTTTTTTTCTATTGAAGATAACTATTTAGGGCCTGATCCAAAGTCTATTCAAACATCCACACAAATAGTCCCCATTCATTTCAAAAGATGATGTATTTAATCCAGAACAAAAGTTCAACCAGAAAAAAATTTGCAATACATATAAATCCACAATATCCTTTATTATATGGAAAAAAGGAATTTGTTTCTCAGCTCTCTAGCCAAACAAATTTAACAGAGAATCTTCATAGACAAATTTAAAATTTCCAAATTATTTCTAGAAATTCCTTTGGGAAGTAAACTTATACTGTCATAATGTACAATTAAACAGCCACAAAATAGCCACAATTTTGCCAACATATAGCATCCTTTATCTGTGTCACTACCTTGCCAATACTGTATTTAGTCATATTTTCTTTCCATTATACCAAAACTGTATATAAGATATATACTTGTTTTGATTATGATCCCCAAAATACAACAAATTATAAGATATATTCACTAAATTAATCTCATTCTTCAAAACATTTAAAAATGCACATGTAAACACTATTTGGTCACCCTTGACCTCTATAATTTGTAATCTGTATTTTGGAATCTGAATAAAAACAAACCTGACCCTAGTATTTTAAAATGCATTAAAAATATCCCCCAAGTATTTAATAGTGAATGTATTACTCAACGTTCATGTCTTATACTGCCACTGTAAAAGGAAAAGGTAATTTGAAGAAAGCAAAAGAAAGGGAAGTAGGATAGAAAACTTATCTTAATTTAAAAATTTAACAGAAAACCTAACAGATTTTGTATGAATTCTGCATTCCATGGGGGTATTGTAAGTTAATTTATAAATATTATAAAAAGTTTACTTCACTTCTAAGAAGAGCAAGTAGAATTGGAATTAATCTATAAATATAAACTAGTAGCCAACAATTTTTACCTATGCTTAATAAAGCAACAATCTAATGGCTACAGCAACTTATTCACTGCCACGCCTTCAGGTCTTTCTGCCACACCCATAAAAGTATATATCCTTCAGTAAGGGTAAAATATTCCATTCAAGTAAAGGCTTGTCCCTTTATTTAATGCTTTTGCTGAAATTTAATTGTATTTAAGAAGAAAAAGAAAAAGGTAGTCTATATTTTAATAATCCTATTTACTTGGTGTGACTGAAGCCACAGAGAATAAGAGAAATGGGGGGGGAGAGATTCCTTGAGTTTTTTTTTTCCTTTGTAAGCAAAAAAAGCAGTTGGTGCTCCTAAGGCAAGACAGGATCATAGAAACGATCATGTGTATATTATGTCATAGTTATAGATTGGCTATAACATCTCTATCCTTCATTAAAAAAAAACAACTGTGCCTTTTTGAAAATGTCGCCTTGCAAAGGAATGCAAATAACATTTTCCCACTCTGAAAGGACAACACTTCTCAAGAAACTGTCAGAAATGAAACAAAAAAAAATGGAAGGGGTGAAGGAAAAAACACAATAAAGATGCTTGCAGTTAAAACTGCCATCTGCAATAAATTTAAAAACAAGAGTCCCCGTAAATTGTATACATAAAATTTAACACCAATTAATCACTCAATGGCAACTATCCCAGTAAAATTAGTATGGGACTCGGCGAGGTTAGGACAGCAAATAAAGGGTTAAGTGGGAGGAAAAAGTAAAGGGGGAGGGGAGAGAAAGCAACCCAGTTCGCCACTCAAGAGGGCCGGAGAAAACTGAGCGCTACAACAATTCCCGAGTTTGGAGAACTTCGAGCGAGCGCGGGGTCTGGCGCTGGAGGCAGCTGAACGCACCGAATCGGCTTTCTTTCTTTCTTTCCTTAAGGCACAGGGGCTGAATCCACACTCCCTCCCCCCCTCCTCAAACTGAAAGTAAAGGAATAAACATGGCGAAGTATAAACAAATCTCTCTCTTCCCTTACCCGCCCCCGCCCCCTCCACCGATCTGCGGAACGCACAAAAGTTTTGGAAAGTTTCTGGCCGTGCCATGGCCGAAGTGGGAAGGGACGGGCGGGACACGCAGGAGCCATTGGGGGCTTTGGGAAGAAGAAAAAAGGGGGGAAGGCAGGATCGTAGCAGAAAAACCGGGAAAGGAAACAATTAAAAAAAAAAAGCCACTCACCGTTCTCGCCGTGGGCGAAAGGGATCCATTGGGGAGGTAAGGGCCGCTCAGGTCGGGAATCATTATAAAGGGATACCCAGGGTATGGTGGGCCCTTAAACAACCCTCCATCTTGCCTTTTCGCAGCTAACATGGCGGGGAAACGAGGAGTAAGAAGGAAAAATAAAAGGGAAGGGAAATCACAGTTAGAAATCGTTTCACACATACACACACAAAAAAATCAAACTAAAACTTAACGTACTTGAGTCTACAGAAAATGCAAGAGAATTTCACAGCCGCCGCCTCCTCCTCCCCACCAAAGTGGGGGGGGGGGAGAGACAGGGTGGCTGCAAAAGTGAACAGCAACTTACCTTCCTCTAAACTTTCTCTGGATTTATCTCTGAAACTTTCGGACCTAGGTGGAGGCCGCCTCTCCGCCTTAAATCAAGAACGGGTTTCGGGGGGGGGGTGTTGATCATGATAACGAAACAAAAAAGGGGGGAAACAGCGAGGAGTGTGTGGGAGAGGTAAGGTTGGTGGGGGAGATACGGAAGAAAGAAAACGAGAACAAGTTAAAAGTTTGTGCAAAACATAAGGCAAAACATACGGCAACAGGGCAATTTACGGCGGGGGGGGGGCTACCAAGTTAGTTGTGTTCTGCCTCCCCCCACTTTTCCTACTTTACCCCATCTCTTCTCCGACAATCCTCCCGCCAAAGTTGAGCGAGGCAGGTGTGTTTCAAAGGGGGAACGCTTCTTACCTCCGAGTCAGAGGAGCTGTTTTGATTAGTTTCTGATTCATTGACCAGAGACGATTTGACGTCCGCTAAATCCCTCTCTGCGGAAGAGTTCTCCGAGATCTTCTCTTCTTGCTCCCCTTCGTCTTTAAAAGAGATCAGTTCGTCGTTCGCCCCCAAATCGTCCCCTCCACCGCCATTGAGTTGCGGCATTTTCTTCCTGCCTCACCCCCACCAGCAGCAATTTTGCAAGGACGGAACGAGGGAGAGGCAAAAAAAAAAAAAAAATAAGGAAAGAAAAAAGAGGGAAGGATATTTTTCTTTTAAAAAAAACGAGACAGAAAGAAAAGGGAGAAGTTTGTAATTTTAAGAAGAGTCCCAGGTGAAAGTTCTTTTCTCTTTTTCTTTCCTCTTGGGGAGGGGAACAGAGGGGGAGGAGGAGGAGGAGGAGGAGGAGGAGAAGGAGGGGAGGGCAGTGTCCCTGCTCCTTTCTTTTTGCACCAGTGGCTTTGGGTTTCTTCTTTTCCTTCTTCTGGATTCTCTCTCTCTCTCTCTCTTTCTCTCTCTCTCTTTTCTTCCGATGATCAGATCAGCATGTAAAGACACGCGGGCAGAGATACAAAAAATTAATAAGAAAAAAAAATTATATAACGAGGGAGGGTTAAAACGGGGGAGGGGAATTACTTTAAAAAAATGGTAGCAAACAAACCAAACAAATCAGCTGTAAAAATGGGAGGGGGGGGGGTAGAAGCTGCAGATATAGGAAGCCTGTGCCGGTCGGATTTGAGTGAGTTGAAGTTAGACTGAGAGCTTTTCAGTTCAAAGGCGGCGCTGATTGACAGATAGAAAAGGGGGATCGAAATCCGGAGGAACGGAGAAGTCTGGGATCCAGGATTATTGACAGGGAGAAAGAAACACTGGGCACTTAATGAGATGCGGGAGGGGCGGGGGCTCCCTTGTGACGTGTGCATAAATAAACAGGAGGAGGGGGTTACGGAGAAACTAACAATGATCCCTTTTGGAGAGAGCAGGAGGGGGGAGGGGTGCGCGACGAAGGCAGGCCGGCCAGCAGGCAGGGGCGAAGAGGCGAACGGAGACAATGCAGATATAGGCGAGGAGGCGAACCTGTCAGTTCTAACCCAGCGGGCCAAAGCGAACAAAACTCGGGTGCATCAAACAAATTAGGGAAGGGGCAAGGCATGCGCTCCAGTAGTGCGGTTTGCACAACTGTCAAGGCATGAAAGCCTCTCTCCGTGCCTTCGAGCTCGCACTTGGTTGCGCACTCAACTTTCCGGCGCGGTGTAGTGAAATTTTAGAGTTGCATCCGATGCACTTTTACCAGGAAGTGATTTCGCTCCTCTGGGACTTCTTTCCGAATAAACACGCACGGGCTTGTGCTCCGGTCATTTCGCCTTTTATTTATTTTTTATTATGTTTTTGGGTGGCGGGTGGTGGTGTTAGTGGGGTGTGTGCTCTTTTTAACGGCTGCACAATGTGTTCGTTCTTAACCTGCGGCTAGAAGAGTGCTCCTAGACCTAGACTTATTTTTTTTTCCCCCATTTTATCGCTGAAAGAGAAGGAGAAAGCGAAGAGAACTCCGGTTGTGGGGCGGCTTTCAAATAGTTTGTTTTTATCGGATTTAAAAGAGTTGGGGGGGGCGGGGGGGACTCCTGGCGCTCGAGTCCGGCACAAACCTGCAAATCTTAGCTCGAAAAGAAGCCCCGCGATTTCCCAGGAATGTCTCTGGGACTCGAGTCCACCGCGTGTTTCCTCGGAAGTGAGTTCCACGGGGCTTAACTCCTGAGTAAGCGCCCAAGCCCGTATCTTAAGAGTCGCAGGCAAAGTGCACCAAGTCTGGCTTTCTAGGAACAGATGTCAAAGACCAACACCAGGGAAAGGGGCTTTTTAATTCACCCTTTTCCTTTTCTTGGGATAGTTTGACAACAGTACATGGGTAGGAAGAGGATGAATGGATAAGACTAGTTAATTGTCCCGCGGAAGAGTCGAAGACTCTGAGACTTTTTTTACAGAGAAATGCCAACTTCTTTTCTTTCTCTTCCGCCACTACAGTTTTCCATCTGCTTCCCGCCATCAGAAAAACTCCAACCGAAGCCCAGAATGGTTCTTCAGAAGAAACACTACTGCGTGTGTGCGTGTGTGTGTGTGTGATCCCACTGTGTGGTCCCCATAGCTGGCTAGTAAATGAATTGCCAAATATAGATTACTGGGGGAGGGAACGGAGGCTGGGTCGTGTAGAGCTGAGGAATGTGCAACATTTACATACTCTTCTGCAGTTAGTGATCAGCTTAAACTGGGGGGGGGGGGCGGGAAGAGAAGCAGCAGCAGCAGACGAAAGTGGCTGCTAAAAATGACATCTGGCACCCGATTCTACTCTGTTGATGAGTGGAGTAAAACAAATTGATCTTCCAGAGTGACAAATTGTAACAATGGAGGAGTCAAATGGAAACTTTAACATGACCAAGGAACAAAAGTAGCAATGGGAGAGAGGGAGGCAAGAGGAAAAGACACACACTGAGTATGTTCAAGGGGAATTAGTAAATTGCCTAATAGAAATAGCGTCAAGCAAAGGAGGGGCTGTTTAAACAAACAAGCATTTTCCAAAATGCATATAGCTTGCTGCTCCTAAGATTTCCAAAACAAAGCTGATAGCTCATGCAATATTTAGAGAGTTTAGAGGGGAGACACTTTAGTAAACTGTCTGTTCTGGGAAAGAACAATAAAAAATAATGCAGAGATTGACAAAGCTATACTACCACTAAGCCACTATACAAAATCACAGTTATGTGTACTTTAAAGAAAATTTCAGGCAATGGTTTTGTTTTGGTTTTTTTTTTTTTTAAATTGCAACTTAAGGAAAACAAGAGAGGAGAAAAATAAAAAGAGGTAAAACAAATGTGTATGTTTAATCAGACTGGATTGCTTAGGACACAAAGAAAAGGGCTAATTATACTCTCAGCAGGTAAGAACTAACCTTCAGACTTCATAAATAAGTAAATGTCTAAGTGGGAAGATGGAGACAGAAAAGGATTACTGAAGACATCCCCCACCCACCCACCCCAAAAAAGGAGGAGGAGGAGGAGGAGAAGAAAATACTTCTCTACATATAGATTTAAGAATTTCTTCTGTTTTTTTCCCTTTCAGACATTATGAACAATAACTGCTACAGGACAGCATTTTTTCCTGATCAACAACATTTTCCTAATAAGCTTATTAAAAAAAGAAAAGATTGAAAAATATTTTATGGAATTATGAATTCTAGCCAAGAAAATGAAGTCTTTTATTATTTGAAATATTTGAATTTTTCAAAAGCTGGAGGTTTAGATCCAGCCACCAAAGAAGTGAACATGTCGAAATTCATAAGAACAGGTACCAATGGTCAAATAAGCAGTAATAATTTAGAACAATCTCCAATCACAGAAACATGCTGATCATCAATTATCCCATGAGATTCCAATGACATATTAAGATGATTCCCCTAAAAAAAAATGCACTATCTTGTATAGGATGGCCAAAATACCATAACATTTCCACAAGATATAAGCCAATCTTTTTAACTTACTTTACATTTGAGCAGACATTTGTTAATTGTCTTGTGCTTTTCAGGAAAGACAGCTTTGAATCTGATACCTATTTAAAGCATTAAATTTATGTATACTTATTCAGGAAGAAAGCCTTGTTGATCTTTATTGGGCTAAGTTTGGAGTTGTTGCAGAATTACACCATAATTTAAACTGTTTGCTTTGTGAGTTTTAAAATATGGTGCTGTCAGTGATTTCAGTGTGATTGTGATTTCAAAATTTTGCACCGCTGTAAAGACTGTAAATTCTAATATATAAAGGATTCTACCAAAAACCTTCAGGGACCTCTCTCTTCCTTTATTAGATATCTTTTAGTCAACTTGTAGCAGCCATTCCTTCAGCCTGCATGATTGGAAAGAAAGAAGACAAGCCCACTTTACAAGTTTGTTGTGATATTGTCACTTTCCATAAAGGTTTTGTGTAAGAACTGGTATATATTTTGTCTTATTCTTTCTTTCCTAAATCTTTTTTACTTCATTTTGTGTCATGTCTTTTTGATTAAGCCTGAAAAAAGGAATTCTTTGACTGTTATTGATTTATAAATCACAAAGGTATCTTCTTTCAGCAAGCTTTAAATATAAATAACATATTTAGATTGGAACCAAAGGAAATTCTTATAATGGAAAAAAAATGTGAATTGTGGTGATGTTCCAGATTCTTTAATGAGATCAGTACTTGGAATTTGTTTATAAGTGATTTGTGGCTAAATACACAAATAATTTAAAATTTAAATTTAAAATAAAACTGATTTAATAGGAATAATCCAATGAAGTTGAATGTGGAAATTCCACAGTAAACAAATACACATTCATTTATGCCATTCTTATATCTGGTTGATTATTTTCAAGGCAGAAGGCAGAATTAGAGTGGACTGATTCAGCAGGACACATTATTAAGTCCATCAAGATTTGATCCCATTGAAATCTGAGGGACTGTTTAATGATTTAAGTTGCACTGATTTGAATGAGAATACGGATAACTAATGTCATATGGCTTGGCCATTGGTTCTTGCTAAGATTCCCTAAGTTACCTACTTCTTTTATTTATGCCATTACAGATTGTTATTTATTAATTGCCTTATAGTATCATTTAATAAACATTTATTTATATATTTAAAAATTCAAAATGGTTTGCAAATTTCTCTAAGTCAGTGGTTCTCAACCTGTGGGTCGGGACCCCATTTGGGGTTGAATGACCATTTCACGGGGGTCACCAAACCATGCAGTCCGCCATTTTTTTCCTTTTTCCCTAGCTGTCTTACTCCCTCTTATTGGTGGCCATACCCACTTGGGGGTCACCACAACATGGGGAACTGTATTATGGGGTCACGGCATTAGAAAGGTTGAGAATCACTGCTCTAAGTCCATATTTACTTAGGTCTGTTATTGGATAATAGTAAGTAAATACGTAAATAAGCAATAATTAAATGCAGATGAAATATGGTAAAAGCATCAGCAGTTATTTTATGACACAGGTGTCAAACTCACCGCATCACGTGACGTGTAGCAACGAATCAGAGCTGGGGTGGGCGCAACATCTTTATGATGCAATCAGCCCATGGGCCAGCAGTTTGACACCCCTGTTTTATGATGTGAGATCTTGTGATAGAAAGAAACTTTAAGAAAAGTTCATAACCAGGTTTTCATAATATAAGCAACTAAATAATATAGAATTTAATGTTTAAACAAATGTATATGGTATCTATGTCCACCATGGTTGAATGATAAATACTGGGGCATTTGGAGTAATTTCTGGATAACCCATGTAGGAGATGACCAATTGAACCTGAGGGAGGAGACAAATGCATTATTGCAAAGGTCCCCAACCTTTTGGGCACTAGGGACCAGTTTGATGGAGATAGGTTTTTCTGTGGACCAGAGGGTGCATGGTTTTGTGTGCTGCCTGCATCCCATGGATAGGGCTTTGCTTGTTTGTGCAACCAGTTGCTGGCATGCTGCAGCTTAGTACTGGTCCACAGACCGGGGGTTGGGGACCCCTGCATTATTGGTCATGAGTCCCTTTGCACCCACAAGAGATCTAAGTCTAGTCCACTTTGAATTCCTGTGACTCTTCTCTACCAGCAATTTGCTTGGGCATCAGTAGTTCAGATTCTTTTGGGGAGCTTAACTTGCAATAAGTCTTTATACCCATTTAAACCATCTGGAACTCCTGATTTCCCTGGTGCTGGACAGCCCAATCCTGAACTTCAAACAGTGCCCTGGTATAGGACATACCATAATAAGTCAATATGACTTAATGTCTGGATCTGAAATGAGATTTTAAAAATCAAACCTACATTATTATCTATCCTGAAAAATGAATGGTCCTATTTTTTTGTTTGTTTGTTTGCCATCTGGATGAGATAATATAGGGAAGATACAGTTTTATACAGGAATGAAACAAGTATCTATAGATGCCATATCATTGAAGGGTGTTTGATAAATCTTACATTTTAAAAAGTATTGGCTAATATATTATTCTGACAATATAATACAATTGGCAAAGTTAACAGTCCTTGTGGACCACCTGTGGAATGGTTATCCAAAATTAAAGCTATTCATATGGCCCTTCGGAATGCAATAAGAGCTAATTATCAAGGCTTGTGACTCTGTGACAGTAATTTAAGTGAGTTCACTTTAATTATTAAGGGAGAGGGGCACTGAAATAAAAATACTACCACATAGTCAGAATTACAGACCAGGCAACAATTATATCAAGAAAGGTGGATTTTTCAAGTTGTCTTCCATAATAAAAAAATATAATTTTATGGATATCAGAACTGAAATGATCAGATTCAGACTAACTAGCCAACCATGCCGAATCAAAGCGTATCAAACTCCTAGGACAGGGGTTCTCAACCTTGACAACTTTAAGACTTGTGGACTTCAACTCCCAGAATTCCTCAGAAGTCCACAAGTCTTAAAGTTGCCAAGGTTGAGAACCCCTGTCCTAGGACAATATTTCCCAACCTTGGCAACTTTAAGGCAGGTGGACTTCAGCTCCCATGGCTGGCTGGAGAATTCTGGAAGTTGAAGTCCACAAGTCTTAAAGTTGCCAAGGTTGAGAACCCCTGTCCTAGGACAATATTTCCCAACCTTGGCAACTTTAAGGCAGGTGGACTTCAGCTCCCATGGCTGGCTGGAGAATTCTGGAAGTTGAAGTCCACCCGCCTTAAGGTTGCCAAGTCGGGAAACACTGTCCTAGGAGATAAGCCTTCAGTGTTAATTTTCTCGTTGGTGTCAACTTTGTAAAAGAATCCAATATTTAGGCTTTCATAGAAATACGCATACATATCTTTGACAATTTTGCAATCTTGTATTGAATTTGCTGGAAATAATTTGGAAATGAATATACTGGATTCAACAGCATTTTGTAATTCAAGGCAACAAGAACTTAACGAGAGATCATAAACACCTGTTTGCACCAGAGTTCTCAGGTTGAATGAAAACAAATGCAGAGTTTGCTACAGCTAAAGTAATACAATATTCAAGGGAAAATTCAGTCTGATCATTTATGTGACTTATGATTTATGATCTGTTGCCAAATTTTAACTAACAGCTGCTGTTTTGTCTAATGCAAGTGCTTGGAGCATGGGCTTCCAAATAGTTTTTAGGCTGGATTGTTGTCTTCTAACACTAAAGAAAAAGTCTGCTTATGACCACTGCAGTGCTTTCTTAGTGTTGGAATGATACATACATTAATTCTCTGATGATGAGATAGAATGATGGTGCACCTTCCATATCAAAGTCTTGTTATAGATTTTAGTAAATAACACACTATCTCAATTGATTGGATATTGATCAGAGCTTTATTGGATCAGAAGGACTTTTTTTTAACTTTAATGGGAACTGCAAATGACCTTAAAACTTGATCACATTATTCACAGTTCTAAAGAAAATAAGTGATAGAGCCAGGAAGCTCTAAATCAGTGGTTCTCAACCTGTGGGTCGGGACCCCATTTGGGGTCGAACGGCCATTTCACGGGGGTCGCCAAACAGTGGGTTTTCTCGTGCCCAGCGGTCTCCCATGGGTGTTGAAGAACAGACACGTACACGTGGTTTCCTCTGGATGGGAGCCTCGAACAAAGACGAAGCATCCCTTTTATTGTGTTATCAGAAGGCGGGTTTATAGGCACCTGGTGACCACCTTACACCAACCACATTTGTTGTGACACAGCATATTAGCATATTACACGTGCTAACTTTGTTTTGCACACGCTACTATACAGCTGTTGCACACGGCACTAACAAACACCAAAACAACATTCCCTTGCACCGCACGGCACAAACTTGTTTTTTCACTTTTGACTTCCGCATACCTTGGCCTACTGCAGCTGATGACTCAGCCTAACAGGCCAGATAACCCAATGACTCCAACATCTCCTACTTTTCTGTTTTATTTAAAATAAGGAGGTTGCGCTTTATAGGAAGTCATCCTCAGTGTCGCTTGGCAAAGTGAAGGCTGGTTTGGTTAGCAAGGGTAACTGAACTGCAGTGTTAGGTGTAGTTACTAAATTGACCTGTTGGTGGATGAGTTCCTGAAGATTACAGTTTATTGCAGAAAGATGGTTCTTCAGGAAATTGCATTATCATATCCTGCTTCCCAGGTGATGGGGCTGACTCCTAGAGTTTGGGTGGGGTATGCAGATCTTCTCTTTTGTCTTCTTGATTGCTCTGGCTTCAACTTTCTGATGGTGTTACATTTGCATTTCTATGGGCCTAGCTCTTGCTTGGGGCAGAGAGATAGATTTGGGGCCAGGTTTGGTTTTAAAAAGTCCTTTTAAGAAAAATATATTTTTCTGCCCTTTTTAATATTTCCTTCTGGGGGGGCTAACTTCCATCAATATCCCCACTTTGTGCCTTAAGTGTGTAAATGTATGACATTAAAATTGATCTGGTCAGGGAGACT